TAAGGTTGTCTGATGCAAACATAATATTAATACTAACAATAATAATAATAATAATAATAACAATAATAATATTTGGGCTCAGCAATCATGCTAATTATTTGTGTTTGAAACTACATGGGTATTATGAATTGCCTGTGTGCTAGAACTAGACAGGAAAATTGTAGTCTTTGCCATCGGAGTTGAACAACTTATTTATTTATTTGTCAAGGTGATGATAATCGAGTTGACAATCGCATACGTCATTGTTTTTGAGTTCCAGTCAAATCACTGTGCATACGTTCAAAAACAAGCATTATCCTCACTGGGTGCTGGAGCCTATCCCAGCTGCCTTCGGGCAGTATGCAGGGGACACCCTGAACCGGTTGCCAGCCAATTGCAGGGCACACAGAAACGAACAACCATTTGCACTCGCACTCACACCTAGGGACAATTTGTAGTGTTCAATCAGCCTGCCATAAATGTTTTTGGAATGTGGGAGGAAACTGGAGGACCCAGAGAAAACCAATGCAAGCACGGAGAGAACATGCAAACTCCACACAGGAAGGCCGGAGCTGGAATTGAACCCGGTACCTCTGCACTGTGAAGTCGACATGCTAACCACTCGACTACCGGGCCGCCTGTTACTTGCTACAGTATAAGTTGTTTGATTGTGTACAGTCAGCAGATGAAACAGAGCATTATAGTCATTACAGGAGGGAGTTTGGCTTGCTGATGTGAAGATTTAAGTGACCTCGCAGGAAGACGTGCCTTTTGAGGTGGCCGTGCATAGAACCTGCAATAGAGTGACCTTGTGGTTGTTACTGCTGTATGTCAAGCAAAGCTTGAGTAAGTGTGACCTGGCGATTTACGAGCTGCTTCAGATGTGTTGTTTTTGGTATTTGTTCAATGAAGTCTTCTTACACATGAAGGAAAAGCAGCCTCCTTTGACCTTGTGAGACTCATCACTGCTGCAATGGTTTGAATGGAAGCACCACAGCCAGTTTCCTACGTGGGGGCAGCATCTGTTGCTTTCTGTGCAGCATCCTTGTTAATTCGTATGAAGGCAATTCATTGATTTAACGCTGTCATCGCGAATTCGCCATGATTTAGTTGACGATACATCGACAAATCGTTTCAACTCCTACTTTAGAAACCATTAAAATGAGGCTGCTAGAACTGTCAAAGTTCATCTGACAGTTTGATGCACAAAGGTTTTATCCGCTGGTTAATACTAGTGATCACTTTGAATTACAACAAAAGGTCCCCATGTCCTTTAGCAAATATTTGCGTGTCTTTGTTTCACCATGGCATAAATAGCTGCATGGGCAACCACAAACATTTGTTGAGCCACCTGCCAAAGTATCGTGGCCATCTGGTCCTCCTGTTCTCCTAGTATGACATATGTGCATTAAACCTGAAATGTTTTTGGAGGTGTGTGGGGTGTGGGGGCGTGCAGAAAGCAGATTGGCCAAAGAGTATTCTGGACTGGTTGGAGTCACAAATGAGGCTTTTTACATCTGAGTAAAGCTGCATTTGCAGCATGTGCACGTTTGATGTCTTGAAAATGGAAGGAAGGTAGTGGGTGACAATGGATCTTCTCTTTGTGTGTGTGTGTGTGTGTGTGTGTGTGTGTGTGTGTGTGTGTGTGTGTGTGTGTGTGGCTGTCAGGTAGGATTCATTGGCTGACCCCTTGGCCAACGGCCAACTGGCAGCAGGCACTGAGCAAGGTGGGCCATGCTGACATTGGGGATAGCCAAGGGAGAATATTTTTGGACAAAGTGACTACATTGCTCTTGTTCCATTCTGTCACACTTTGCTTCTGCTACACCTTCTACTTGGCAACCAGACACAATAAAAGATTTTTTACTGAAACGGGTTGAATGCAAGTAGACAGTCCATTTGTTCACTCGTACCTATCATATGAACTGAAGCTTATTATAGTGTGAGTATAAAGTGTAATTAAATAGAAGATTTCAATTTGTCAGTGATTACCTGAGGAATGTCCGCTTCATCTAACTCCTGTGACTTCCTCGCGGTGGATTAGACTTCACTTTAAAATTTTAACATCCCCACAAGCATTGAATTCTTTATTACAGTATTTTTTAGGATCATCGCCACGGAGGAGAGCCATTTCTTGCCTACTCACAAATCCTACACCTTGACATCTGATCGCCACAGTTACATTTGTCAAGAAAAAGTTATTCCCCTTTTCCCACTGCACTGGTTCTTCCATTGTAAGATGGCACTTTTACAACTTCATTTACATTCACAGAGTTAATGTCGTCTTATTTTCCAATATGATTAGGGCAGACTACATTCCCACTCTCTCCATGGGCCTTGTGATTGACAAGTGACAATCCAGGGTACACCCCTCATCGAAAGTCAACTGGAATAGGCTCAAGTTCAGCAGACATAGGCACTGCTTTTCTTCTTCGCAATGTTATTTTTCAGTAAAGTACGGCATAAAAAAGCTCAAGAAAAAGCAAATGGAATGTATATACTTTATCCAGTGACATCCATTGAATACACTACAGTAGCTGTAACATGTTTTGCTAACGCCTCATCCCAGTTTTTGCGAGAGTAAATGCTACTTCCAAGGCAGAAATATTCCAGAACTACTGCTTTACCAATCTTCCTATGGCATTGTAGAGGGGGTGTGGTTTACACGCAGAAGCACTTAGATAAGGCCGAGAACAAGTTCATTAGCAAAGTTCGCTAGTTGAAACACGCCTTTCCCAATTAGCCTCGAGGAGAGCAAGCGAAGGGGGATGAGAGACACAGAGACAGATTCCTATCGCCACTCGTCCATGAAAATTAGAAGAATAGTATGACACGCTATCTCCCAAATCAGCGGCTGATTGCAAAAGTGCCATGACAAGAAATGAACACGAGATAGAAGATCAGCGTGTAGATTTGCTTGAGGACATACTAGGAAAGACAAGGGGAGAGAAAGGCAGCTCGCTGGGTGTTCCACATCAGAGACGCGGCACTCAGAACAACAGAGACGGCTATCAGCTTAATATTGAGTCATCGTGCACGGTTCTCTGCTGCTGCAGACTGAGAACCAATCAGAGAACAAGGGCCAATCATGGACAGTCACTTGGTATGTGCACAGCGGAGATGAAAAGCAGCGAATTAAAAAAAAAAAAAAAAAGTTCAATTACAGGATATGGGTTGTAAAGGCTTTTGTTGTTACTCAGCAAAAGGGAAAGTGTACAGAGGTGTTTCAATAGATTCCCCAAAGCAGGTGGGCATGTTCCGAGTTAACCCGCCTCATTAAAAGGCTTGTCTCTCTTTTTATGGAACGGCCATTACACATCCTATTCAGATGCACGCGTGGAGTGATTAAAAATTATCTGTGGGTGATCATAATCACACCTGCTTTAACTTAAGCCAGCCACGAACAAAGAACTTTTCAACGCGGAGCTATCTGAACATTTACAAAGAGATGAAAAGGTAGACAGTCACAAACTAAATAAATTTGCTTTAATCGCTTTGAACAGGAAGTCATGTCTTTTCAAATGGCCCTATCTGATTGTCTGATTTGCCTCTTTATTCAAATTACAACATGCCCATCTGACTTTTGCAGTACAATGGGAAAAATTAAAAAGGGAAGTGACCTTTTATGGCAGCCTTGATGGGAAAGTGAATGGCGTTATTATGCGGCAAGATTAATTTCTGCCTTCTCTGCGCTGCCCAGGGAGAAAACAGAGGAAAGACAGGGTCAACTCCCGATTATGGTGGCATAAGCTTCGTATTTGTGGCAACATATTGATTTAAACACCATTCTTTTTCAAGCCTTGCTGTCAAGTTGAAGCTAGCGCAAGCAGGATGTATAAGAGCTGGACACAGCTATTTTTTTTTTCCACCGATGTAATACAGCAGAGATTAGGGCACTGTGTGGAAGTCGACAAACCATAGGCCGCTTGATAGCTGAGAACCACTCAGGCTGCGCTTTAGTAAAACATGAAATGGGCAACACGCACAACCTCCTCCGCAGTTCAACTGTGGAGAATATGCAAGCGACTAAGTCCGAGGTGTCTCTGCTGCCAGCCGAGTTGTGTCTTTCTGAGCCCTTAAGACTCATTCTGATGGGTAAGTCGAAGGCAAGCAATAATTATAGTCAGTCATGTATCTGACCATGCTACTGTACTGTATATCCATTCCTCCTTTTCAAAGACATATTTTTAAGCTCAGCATTTCTTGGCCCAAACTGTCTTTTCTCGGCATGTGATGCCTTCTTTTTGTCATGGCCCCCATAGTTCTGAGCTGACCCCCTCAGCCCTGTCTCCTGACTGATCACAGTGATGGTTTATTACTGTCGTCCCAGCGGTCTTATCTTTAGCCAGCAATGCTCATTTCCTTCCCCAGATTTAAATGCAAATGTGAAATTTAATGATAAATGCATTATCTGATAGGTGTGATAACGCTGATTCACTGTCAGTATAAAATACACACCCCAGGGGGCTTTTAGCTAGCAAGCACAACTTGCCCAAATCCACTTTTTCTCTCTTACTCTATTCTTTTTTCGGTCTCTCTCATTTTGCAAACGCCTGTACCTGCGATACATTATTGAGGTCATTTCATACATTAAATGGAATCATGTTTTCAGCATTCAGCAGTGTGTATGCAGGCTGTTCGATGTATTATCCATCACTCTGATGAAGTCACCTTTGGTAGAATGGCAAAACACAATTTTTGCTTTAAAAAAAACCCACACCTTTACAGATAGACAGATCATCTCCCTTTTATGTATCTTTTGAAAAAGAAAGTGCTGTACATGCTGGTAAATTCTATCTCAATGTTGTCTGTATAAATTGTACTGTTTCATGCTAACTTGTGACTGATTCAGCCACCATGAAATCATAGACACAATGCTTCCTTCCTTTTCAAACCCAATAGTTTATACTTACTGGCATTCTATTCAATGTATTCTTAGTGTGAAATGCATTGCAAACTATTAATAACTTTGATGGCTCTCAAAGATTTTGGAAGAGTGCCCATGTGAATCCCTTGCTTACTTGGGCCATCCCATTCAGCCAGCCCCACTGAAGCACGCCTCGTCTTCTCAGCCTGGCTGTCCACTTCTGGTTCTACGGCCTCTCGGTTGCCGTCCTCCTCTCCTGAAAGAAGGGAAAAAAATCCAACAAAACTCATATAACTAATACAGAGAGAGCAGTACAAAAATGGTGACACACTGCATTGAAAAAACTGACCATAAATTAGAAACACTCCATTGAAATTGTGTTTGCCAGATACTAAACAATCATAACCTGATATGATATTTCTGTGGGTTTGTGAGTATCAGGCAATGTATGGACAATAGCAATTTAGCAGTGTGCTCACAAGGTCCAGCTGCACACTTTCATCTAAAAAGATTTCCCATGAGTTCTCGCAGGAAAAAGAGGAAGTGCCATTAAACAGGAAGGAAAGCCATGTGCGGGGGAGAGGCGGCTATTTATTACCGTTTGATCTATTGTGGAGCGAGTGAGAATGTGTGTTATAGGATGTAGGGCTGATTTGCAGTCTTTGGATTCAGACAGACCGTGCTTAGGAATATTTGGGTATCTCGCTCCAGGAAGCAAGTGCTTAAAGCCCTTGTTAAATTGACACCACCTCCAAATGCACAGCACTGACAGTGATGGGATTGCTTGGTGAGCAATCTTGGATGCATTTACTGAAAGAAAATTTGCATGCTTAGTGACAAGGACGTGTCGTAAGGAGAGGCAGGGCCCGGCATGAAGAATGAAAAATAAGCAAAAGATGATTTGATAACATTACTTTCAATTTGAGCTCACTGGTATACTCCAGTGCATGTGCTTCATTTAGATTTTCTTTTAGAATCTAATATTGTGCATGATTTCGAAGTCCAAACTGATGAATTTTTTCCCCTTCAAATACATGTGGCAGCGAGTAGCCTCACCTCACCTCAGAATGTCCCAATGTCCCACTAAGTGGTTTGAGGAGGCTTGCAATTGGTAAGTTGGTGTTTCTGTCCATCCAATATGTTTTCAGACACTTATAATGTGGACTCAAATTTTCCATACTATTTTGAGAGTGGTTGTGCAGTGCATAATAAAATAAAAGAAATAAATCATGATTAAAAAAAAAATAATAATAAAAAAGTAACATCAATGCATATGTATTTCCTAGTGTATTTCCCCTTTGGGTGAATGGACACTGGGAAGGTGTTTGTTATCAATTTTCAAATGACAGCTGACACAAGACAACAATGTCCATCCTTGGTAACGTTAATCTTCCTATCAAGCACACATGTACACAAGCACACACACAAGAACAGATGCACACGTGTGCACGTTTGTTTAGATTTTTTTTTCAAGGTTCAGTTCAAACAAGGAGGCAACCACTGCCAAAAGGATCAGTTGTCATCCTCCTACTTGAATAGATGTTCAAGAGAGAAAAGTAATATTGCACTGAAGTCTTCAGATATGTCCTACTTACAGCGCATGAGGTCATTACGACCCAGTTTTGTTTATATGAGTGTCTACTTGGGCAAGCATCTCTCTCCGCTCACTCCTTTACCCTCCCCGTATGGTATCAGAGAGCCCACTGAGCAAAATTCCTCACTATTTGTTGTTGGGACTGGAGAACCTCTTTTGCATACTGGGCTTGTATTATGATGTATGATGGATAAAAAAAACCCGACACATAGCAAGAGTTCCTTCCAATGGAGCGGAATAAAAAAAAAAAAAAAACGCTGACAAGATAACATTAAAAGCACTACCTTGATCTCAGGCGAACATGTTAAGCCCTGTAACTAAATGTATTGGAAGTGTTTAATTACAGGCAGGGAAATGAAGCTACAAGATGATTCCTTAATTAAGGAGTGATTAAGGATTTTCTGCCTTCTATCGAACACAGTTTGCAATGCATTTTAAACACAACCGTCCGGGCAGCCTCACAGGGAACAATGTCACAGGGCTTTGATGAAGTTTCCTGCACAAATGTCATGAAGAAAAAGCAGAGCAGGGGGGGATGTGCTGTGGCAGCAGTCCTTTGCTTACACCACAGTAGCTGGGAACAGGGAGAAATATAATTTTATGTTACTGTAACCTCTCATGTATTGACAGATTGATTGAGCTGCTCGGTTTTATTCACAGAGGGTCTACACTAAGTAAAAAAGACAATGTCCAGTTTCATGATTTGAACCGAGACCCAATGAAGCCTTATCAAGGGAGACAGATAGTCAATGATAATCTTCTACTATTATCGCCTTCATCATAATTTACATCTGGCTTTTATTCCTTTCCCAGCAGACGAAAGAAAAGAGATGTAACTAAGGTTGAGTGAGAGAGGGCTAACCAGAACAGAAAGGATGGCGAGTGGGGTGGGCTGCTGGTCGCAGGGTTGGCGGACATGCATGAGGACTCGGTGAGCTGTTCACATCAGCTGTATCACCGCTTAATCAAAGGACAACACTGGAGCCACATCACAGTCACACACGGTGTGACACGCATTCAGGTCAATAAGCTTATAGGCAATTTACACAAACAATTCCTCGAGCAAGGTAGCAACAAAGTCATATTGGCTTTTTCTGTGCCTTTTAGCATTGTCTCTGTGAAGGAAGCCCTTGAAAATGTCAATCCATGTGTGTAAGATGAAGGAGTGCAGAGCCTTCTAATCCTGACCACTGAGGCTCGAGAAGGGGCACGATTTCAGCAATATAAGCATTTTAAAGTCTTCATACATGATTGTCCTTCATTACTAAATTCAACTTTTGATACTTTGACCCCGAGGCCCACTTTTTAAGACTTTTGAAGTACTGAGCCACGCGCAGTACGTTTCAAAATGTGAATGTTTAAAAGGGTTACCTTCCAAATCGTCGTGGTAGTTGATAGTGCATATTTAGTTGCTGATGAAAATTATGCAGCAATAGATTACATTTCTCCCAAGCAGAGCTGGAAGACTTCTCCGCATTCAGGAAAATAGGTTGAAATTGTTTTTCAGTTTGCGGCAGCGAGACCACTCCAATGGAGGGAGGCTATTAGTGGAATGCTCTGCCTCTGTCTCTTTAAATGCCAATAAATTCCCATCATTACAGAATCTGGCAGTTTTCCTCCTTGTCTGCAGCCTGGGTCTTTATCTCACTCTGCCTCCGTCTCTGGGCGTGTAGATCTGGCCCAGTTAGATTGTCATACTTAACAAACATTAATGATTAATTTCCTCCACTGAGTCAAATGGGGCTAAAGGGATGACTTGATTCATCTTATCGCGTCGCAAATTAGCATTTCCCCATATTCTCCTGCATCAACTGTGCATTAAAATTCCACAATCGCCATTCTGGGCACAAGCAGCTGTGGCAAAAGAGCCAAGAAGACCTTCCGGTGTACTGCGAGAGATTCAAATTGCTTCTGTGAAGAAGACACTTCTCTCTGATTTTGACACTTTGCAGGTCATTTAGTCAAGATGTAAGATGAGAAGATGAGTGCTGTATACAGCGCTTTTGTCGACATTAATTGATTGTGAAAATGAACGGTGGAAAAATGGGCACAAATCAAGGGTCAATTCAATGTGGTTTAAAAAATGTCACATAGCTCTCAAGATCATTTGTTATCAGGCGGCAATTGGAAGGTAATTAAGAGAAGATAAAGGATAAAAACAGCTCGGTCAATTTCAGTATGAAAGGCGCCACTCAGCATATATACAAATATTTCATTCTTTTAATTGTTAGCAGCAGAAACTGATCCAAGATAGATTTTGGCTCAGAAGGTAGAAAAAAGCAGGACTATTTTTTGATAATGGTTCCATTCTCCACCATATAGAAACCTTGGTAGGCAGAGATTCTATTAGTCTGAAAGGTGAATTGTGTTAATTTGTGACATGAGGCTCTATGCCTGTTAGACCCAAACCAGTCAGGGCACACCGCCATTACCTGAACAGGTTCTGAAGCCAACCATTGCCCCATGTGGAGGTCTCCGAACCTCAGACCGAGATGGGACATGAAGGTGCTCTCTACACTTATCTGGGGAGTCTCTTTTCTGCAAGGGTAAGGCAAATGGCTCAGGCTTTGGTGGCATTCAACTTCCTGACCTTTGCGCCTTTAAGCAGCTTTACTACTTCACCGCACTCTGATCAAAGTTAATAAGTGCTTCATATGTTAATGAAAATTGGTAGTCTTCTTTGTGTTCCAACAGCTTTTTAATACCTATTATAGACTGAAACTTTTAATGGAGGTTTTAGGTCCCCCTGACAAGCCCATTTCATAGAGTGACTACATAGATACAAGGCTAAGCTAAGACCAGAGAGCCGCTGCTCAGTGGAGGAACCTTACACGGGAGACCTTATTCTCCAGAAAGCAGCACAAGATAAAGGCCATGGGATGAGTGGCTGCTTTAAAATCCACGTTCAAGTCCGCACAGGGCTAATTACGGCACGCCATCGCGTTTGAGAGGGTTTAGTTAATCAAGGGGTCCCTTTTCCTCCTATAGTCGAGTAATAACACACTTAAACCATTTAATGCTGCCTGAAATGCGTCTTTCTTAATTCACGGCAGTTTCACACAAGTGGAATAAATTTAAGCCCCGCTGACATTAGTTTTAAATAGATCTAATTGAGAAAGGGATCATGGAGTCTCCACCTGATGATGGCGTAAAACTTGCCACGATGAAAAAATAAATGTGGATAAAGCATCACTTGGGTCTTAGGAAGCAAAAGAGACTTAGCCACTAGAAGAGTGGACAGAGAACTAATACAAAAATCTGGCACGTAGCGCTTGTGCTTGAACAGATTACCGGTAATCATTTACACCAGGAAAACCAGCATGTCACATTTTACTTTTCAGTGTTCATTTTATTCACAAACACAGGACATGAAAATGAGATTTGGGGACAAATTTGGTCACACGGTTTTACCCAAAACAATGGAAAAATCACCGCCTCTGACAAACTACTTTGAAGATATTCCGAAGGAGAATATTTTTGTTCTCTCTCTTTTTTTGCAGTGGCAGCAGCAGCCTCCAATGCGCTCGGCGACATCTATCTCATAGCTACTGGGCAATTACAAGCCTATATAAGACACCACTTTGAAGTTTAAGGACACATCGTGTCAGAGACAAAGGCTAAAAGCAGACGCGGTGTTGCTGGTAATTGCAATTTCTAAACAAATGCGCCGTTCAACTTTTCCCAGAGAACAAAAGGAAGACATTGATACAATTACCGGGGCATAGCCTACCTGAAACATGAAAGTTTCATTTTCTTTCTGTAATGTAATCCCACGAGGCACATCAGTTTAGAGGTGTGAAAAACTAATTCTGAACAATTTTCATTTGAAAGGAGAAACAAGGCCATTCATTCAAAGAAGGGTGGCTTCATTAAAAACTCAAATATATGGCATCCGTGAGGGGGGACACCTGGGGTAGCAAAGACATGCGACCTGGGGGTAGGAGGAGATGGGTGGAGGGGCAGGAGGGGGGTTGTTATGGGGTTGGAAAACTCTGTCATCTTCTCACTGTAACCTGGAGAAGACCACAAATTAGTTCATGTGATGGCACGGTGTGACCAAAATGAAACAAACACACAAAGAAGAAATCTAATTGAATTGGAGTTCAAAGAGGAGTGGCGCCTGCCTGGCGAAGCTTTGCTCTTTTGAGTGTTGGACCTCCAAGCAATAGCAGGTGCTGCTTAGTGGAGTCACAAGGCTTTTGCACGACCTCAAAAGGAACGGCCACGCTCTCCAGTGCATCGGTGCACCCTAACTCACCTTCACAGCACTATCAGCCTGCCAATCTCTCAGATCAAACCACTGCTCTTGAGGAGAATTGTGGGAATAAAATATCAAAATGGATGGCTTCCACTGTAGATAATGACGATGGGAAAGTACAAGAACAAAATATTCATGGCAGGCTTGATTTGAACAGGACTTTTATTAAAAGCCTTTGGCATGCGTCACACTTATTTTTGATGTCTTGGCACAAGGGTTCCCCAGCATATTGGCGGGCATTAGACATCAAAAAGAGCTCCGCACACGCCTTGTGGAGAATCATGGGGGTTTGGTTTCAAATAAATAAACGATCCTCACCTTTGTTGCAGAAGTACTCCATGTCCTCGCAACTCATGTTCTCTGTATCAAACTCGGCAGGGAAGTTTTCTTCCACTGAGAACTCATCTTTGGCCAGGAGCTCGTTCTCCTCAGGGACACACTCCTCATCCTCTTCCTCCAGGCCATCCTCCAGAGGACCTGAGGGAACACACGCACACGCACACGCACACACACACACACACACACACACACACACACACACACACACACGCTGATGTTAAGCGGTTTCATCAGATCCTTCAGGCTTTCAAGAAGAAAAAAAAAGTCTGTCATTTTGTTTAGTTTTCTTAGCTAATACAAATGCAGATTCTGTTCTGTGTAGTCTTTTGTTGGACTATCCATAGAAAACAGTATCCACTTATTATTTCTGTAAGGAAGCGGTAATGCAGCCAAGGTCAGTGATGATGTTAATTACAGCCCCTGAAAAACAAAACGTCACACAGAAAAAGAAAAAAAGTTCCTTTCCAGAGTTTTTATACGGGCATCAGCATGGGAGCAGGAATAAAAATACTTTTATTAATTTGTTAGCCTTATCACAGGGTACAATGTAGGTTTTCCATTTACAATCCATGCCTCCAGGTAATACACCAGTGCAATCTTAGAGCAGACACTTTTCTCTGTGATTAATAAACCCCCCCCCCACCCCACACCTCCTCCTCCTGCGCAGTATTATTTCTTTAAATCTAAATGATTTCAGAGTTTTGCTTGTAGCTGTACATCTATTTTGGAATTTGCATATTACCATTTTGCTTCAATCAAGGCCGTTGATGGAATTACTCTTTTGCAACCTGAATTGTATTAGCTGTGAAAAACATCTCACCCAGCCTTTGAATGTCATTAAGATAATCTCACGCACTTTTCCCTCACACCACAACATATCTTCCGAGGTTGTTACCCAAATAGTGACGGAGAAGTTTGAAAGAATACGGTTCAAGCAAGAAAATGACATTATTTATTTGATTTTTTTTCCCCCCCCAAAAAATCCCTCTTGAGCTTAGGGTAATCATCATTTTAAGTGTATTCATTGCTCGTCGCCTGTAACATTTGGGTATTGTATCAGTTTCCCCTTGTCACATGAGTTGACTTGCAGCCTCTTGTGCATCATTCTGAAGCTCAAACACAGAGCACTGATATCCTCTCGACACCTTTCAATGTGTTTCTTCTATTGTGGTGCAAGTGAATCCCTCAGCTATATTAAAGCCGTGATTTCAGTTCAGTTCAGTTCAGCAGCACTTGTGTGCCTCTCATATTTCTCTCAATCTGGACCAGAGAAGAGACCCCCCCCCCCCACTCCCCCGATGTCCATAAACTGATTGCTCTTTTCATTAATCCTATAAATGACTCCTTTGTAGAGGTCCACATCGGCAGGAGCCCCGGACTTGAAAAGAATTAGCACACAGCTCGAATAGAAATTGCAGAAGTCGACATGCCACGCTTAAATCAGGATGCAGTTTTATGATTGTATCGGATGCCAACTGCTGATTCGCTGAGAAGTGAAGCGAAGCGTGATGTGACTCTCGTATCACTTTAAGAAGATACAGAGAGATAAACCAGGCAGTATCAAGGGGAGATCCTATGATTGGCATTAAACGCTCCGACCAAGGCAATTGGTGACAGAAGGTGCAAGAAAGCAGGAAAATACATTCCGATAAACACATTCTATTACACTGCTGAATAAGAGCTGTGTGTACGGCAAAACTATTCTTCCTTGGTCGAGGACAAATACAGCAGCACTAGTGCATACCACAGAAAATGGACCCACAGTGTTGCGCGATAATAAGGGTGAAAAGAGATTAAAGATAAACTTCATGGTCAATAAGACACAAAGATTAGGTAGATAAGATGAGATAGAATTGCAGTTTAATAGACTCTGAATAAGGGCATCTCACATCCCCTCTCGAAAAGATAAAAACTAAGTGGAGCATTTTCAAACCGATAGAGATATACTGGAGGCCTATCTGAATATAAAATAATAAAATACTCCATTCAGTCAAAGCCATTACAGAGGCCAGATGGCAACTTCTTGCCGACTACGTAGATTAGTTAAGTTTGTTCATATTCTCACGTATAGTTTATTATACAGTATTCATTGCATGGAGGGACCTGAAATTATTTCAGAGACAGCAATGATAAGAATAATGACTTTCTAAACGACTAGCACCACACTCCTAACTCATTTTCTGATAGTGGTGTTCCTGCTATATTTAGTTGTGTACTGTTTAAAATCCTGTCACATTCAGTGTGTGATCCATGCTTGCTTGGTGCATTTCTATGGGCTTTGCGGGCCAGAACAACATCTGCTTCGCCCTTTTATCATACCTTTTCTATAGAGTTCAGTTGGCCAGTGACACCGAAGAGGGAGCTTTTGCTTTTCATTTTATCTAAGAAACACCACAATTAGTTTGCGATGGCTGACTTTATAATGCTCCCAAATTTTACAGGTTCTCACAAATCGATCAGCAAAAGAAAATACTAAAATAAATAAATACATTAAAAAAAAAACTGTATGGAATGCTTTCGACTACTCTTACTTGCAACATGTTTTGCAATTTTAGGATCTGCTTCAACCAGAAGAACCAAAAATGCCACCATGAAATTGACTTGTAATTGAAAAAAAAATTAAATATGTGCCCCTGATTCTTCCCTTTAGACAAGGTAAGCGTTCCGATCTGTTTTTTTACATGCTCTATGAACTGCATCATCCACATTCATCAGGCTCTCTTCTGCCTCTGACTTGGAAGAGGAAGTATCAGCCCTGTTCTAACAATCAGTGGGCAAGAGCAGCCAATGTTAATAGAGACATTGGTTGCTGAATGCAGGCTTGATCACAGAGGCTCTTTTGTTCGTGGCATGGCCTCTGTCTGATACAGATCGCCCATGCAGAGTGGCGCTCCAGCATGGGCTATGCTAATGGCCCCACCGAGTTTATAAAATGGGGTGATACTCGCGGACCACATGATGGACAGAGGATTAATGAGTCACAGAGGAAGGGGATACTATTTAGAAGGTGGCTGCAGATAGAGGTTGTGGAATGAGCATTTTATTTTTTTCAGGGGAAGCTCAAAAGCAGGAAATGTTGGGGGACACATCTTGTATAAGGCAAGTTTACAGACGATATGTAGGCCCACACTTTGGAAAAAGGAGGCTGCTCAACAAATACGTGTAGTGTGAGTGGCTGCTAATGTCATGGCATATTTCTTCTCCCTCCTGCAAGGTAGGCAGCTTTTGGCCAAGCTGTGATACCTCACATTATCAGCAGACTTCAGAGTGTCATGTGTGTTCCCCAATTAGAGGTGAGGTAATTGAATCTGACAGAGCAAAGCTATCGATCCCAATATGCATGGAAATCATTTGTCTGTACGAATTTACATCCAAAGGGTGGACTGAAAATATGTTTAAAAAGAACTATACTTCAGTACATTGTATTTTAAGATATGTCGAATATTTCAGTTCCATCGGAAAGTCAAAAATATGAATACTCGGCATGACTGGACGATTATGGACAAAATCATAGTCTTGTTTATTCTGACTGAAATTGAAATCACGACTATTAAAATGATGATTCATTGATTTCAAAATGTAGTATTTACTAAACGACTGAAACTACTCAAAAATGTCATGCTCATTCATCCCTGCACGTTGAACACTTTATACTTGAACATTCTATTCTTTTTGTCACGTCCAAAATGACCTGTTAAATGTCGTGTGAAATTCAAGCCGGACTGTTCTGCACATTAATTGCTTTTCTTCAATTATAACGTTTTAAAGATAGAGAGAAACCAAAATCAAAATCATTTACATTTCGATGAATCGTCCCGCCCTAAAACCACGCATGATCCAGAAAAGTTCTTCATAACTACAACCATAATCATGAACATATTTTGAATCAATTCCAATCTGAAAGTGTAAAAACTGACCATCATTGCATATGTGGCATAAGGAAATTCAGGGCTGGGCGCGTCAGTGAAATTCCATCAGCGAAGTACCCAGAAGCCCTCCATCGTCACTCGTCATTATTTGGCTCAGTCCGTCAGTCTATTACTCTGACATCATTATTTTTCATGTGCTTCCTTTGTCAGCGCTATTTCAGGACTGTCAGCAAAAGCAAGAGTAACAACACAAAATTTTCATTTAGAAACAGTATTGACCACTTTACACCTTCCCAAAAAATAATAATAAGGCAATTCTTATACTGTTACTGCTGCTCCTCCTGCTTCTCGTCCCCCATATGCCGCTCATCTTTTTCTTTTTCTTTTTTTTTTTTAAATTACCAAACTGCTGGTTTAATGTTGTGGCAAGGTAGTGCATATTCATTCATGTTTACACCACGTTAGGCAAGCCCCCCCTCGCTGCCCATCTTTACACCTCATTTTAAACTCATTTTTATTGTTTGGCTTTTGACTCTGCATGAGACTTGATTTTTTTTTGTTTGACTGTTTTTGTGCTTTCTTCTGTCTTCATTATTAATTTATTGTTGTCTGGTTTGTCATTGTATGAATTATTTTTTTCTCCATGTCCAGCACTTTGCATACAGCGGTGGTTGTTTTAAAGTGCTCTATAAATACAGTTGAGTTGAGTTGAGACAGGTGCTGTAAGGGGATTAACACTTCTCCCCACTAACGAGGTAAAAATAACATACATACATACATACATACATATATATTTTTCTTTTCTCGAGTCGTCTTGCACTTCATGGCGTGTAGAGCCAACCATAGGAAGCGGGTCTCTCCATCTGCGTCTATTGTGGGCAAGATGTTGAGCTTGTGCCAGGGTCACATTACAGGCCCCAAGGTCCAGGGGCAATGCTAATATACACACACACACACACACACACACACACACACACACACACACACACACACACACACACATAGAGAGAGCGAGAGAGCGAGAGAACACACACACACACACACACACACACACACACACACACACACACACAGTACTATTGCATGAGGATTCGAGATGTGTGACTATAAGAGAGAAAGTGAAAGAGGAGAAATGCAAGAAGAGACGTGGGGCCATATTCTCTGCTCAGCTCTAATGACCTTTGGGAAGCAGAGGGCTCCCTCGGCCTTGGAAAAGACTTGGTGTACATGTTACAAGGCTCAGGCCTCTAATTTAATCCTTGATCACTG